CCTGAGAGGGAAGGGTTGTGGGAAGGAGAGCTAGGGCCCCTCCCTGTTCTCTGTTTTAAGAATCTCTGATGTAGACAAAAGATCATTAGGGTTGGAGGAGACGTCCTGGGTTCAAGACCCAGGTCTGCTCTTGCGGGGTACTGGGCAGAGCGCTCATCTCTGGCCTCCATCAATAAATTGGGGAGATGCCATCCTCGCAGGATGGATACAATATAAGAAACCTAGTAAGTCTGTGAAAGTCGGCAGTCTAAGGACCCAGACAGGAGTGTGCGTGTGAGAGAAATGGCCCACTGGGACATAAGGAAATCTTTTACAGTGAAACCTGTGAGAGCCGGAACTTCACGGGCCTGCCTTGTTTTTCTGGGTCTTGCAGGTTTTCTGCCTTTGACAGGGTGCAGTCTTGGTACTTTTCTGTCTTTATTAGTGGACAGTATGTGAGTCTTTCTTCTCTGACAGGTTTCTGCCTTACATGGTCTCCGACTTTTGCAGATTTTACTGTACAAGGAACAGCAGGGAGAAGCTCATAAGAATCCACCAAGGAACTGCCCCCAAAGGTAGGGAGGGCCTGAAAGTACTACTGCCCCGACTCTTCCTCCATCTTCTCTCTTCTCCTTCCAAAGGGGACTTCAATGTGAAATCAAGGGTAAATGGAGAACAAAAACAAAATGGACAAAGGACACTCTGGAGCAGAGAAGGGGGAGCTTGCCGAGGCCAGTGGCTTGTCCCCAGGGGACCAAATTCAGCCTTTAGCAGGCTGATGAGACAGGGCTGTGACAGGCACTGTCCCCAGTCTCTGAGGGCAACTGCCAGGTGGCCCCGGCCCTGGGTTTATACCTGGCCACCCCTGGGTGGAGTTGCAGAGGGTTCCCAGACAGTATGTCTGCCATCTGAGGTGGTGACATGGTGACTTTTGCATCTTTTTTTTTTTTTTAATTTTATTTTGATTTGGGTGAAGATTTACAGAGTAAATTCACTTTTCATACAGCAGTTCACATATACTTTGTCT